TGTAAAATCTCGGGCTTAAGCCCAGTTTACAGTGTGATGTAATCTTAATTGTCTGCTTGATAATAAGATGATCATCTTTATTGCCACTATGAGTGACAGACTTATTATTTTAAGAAAATCACTTAGCTGCCTGGCGGGCTGCATCCGCTGGCACTCGTCGTTCAATGTTGCCGCCCAAGATACTGTCACTTTGAACACTGCATCTTGCTATGAATGGTGGATTATATGCACAGTCACAGTCCTTGGAACACAGAAGAAAATATTAAAACTATCCTTGTGGCGCAACAATGCCTTCTGGACAGTTCGGGTTCACTTTATTCTCTATTCCAGTTCTCATCAACGAAATTATCTCTGTGCTATAACTATGTACACTGTGTCTCCTTATGAATGGTGATCGTAATCAGTAACAGTCTGGTGGAAAACACACACACAATAGACAAACTTTCTTTGTAGCACCAAATACCATGTCTTCTACTCTCAGGCACTGGTGCCTGATTGCTCGTCCCAATTTTGATTTGTTTCACTTCAATTTATTTTCAATCCACCTGGTCACTGTTGTCATTATGGACTGTCTTCGCTAAAGGCACAGTACTGCACTCGCTGATCGACCTTGGACGGTCAGTCACAACCATGAACGCAACTCATAAATTTCTGGATAAACTTTGTCATGGCAATGATTTTATGGTTGTATACCTCCCGCCTATTCCTCTGGTGAGTACATGTGTTATTAAATATACAATGGGGAAATGACGTTAAAAATCCTGCATCGATTACACATTAACATCACTAAGACGATCTCGATGTTCACAACGAAGGCCCGAGTGCCATCACTCTGTCACAGAGACGAATATGACACCAATCTAATCTAACGCAGACATTTTTCAAAGTTAGTTTTCTACACTTGGGATAAAAAATAGTTGTTCAGATTTCATACAAAAGTGCTACTTTACATGCTGATTAAGACCTGGGTTCACAAAAAAATTAATTAATGACCTTTGAAATATTTAGATATTTAAAATTTCAATTACGTTGTGCCCGTAAGTTTTAAATCACCTTTATACATTTTTTAAATATAGACTATCAAGGTGTCTACTGGTCTGGAAACCTGAAAGGCCTGGGAATTTTACTAATAAACCTGGATATGCATATTTAGTTCAACTTTTACAATATTGTGTTTTTGACATCAATCTGACCATAAATTAATGAAGTACTTTATAATAGGTAAATAATTAAACTTTTGGGAACAAATTCCAGTAATAGACCACTCCAATAACTGAATTATTTGTGTGTCTTACAGTATTATATTTCATGTTAGTGATCAAATAACCAAATATTACAGGTTATACCAAATAATTTTGTAATGAGTATTGTCAGAGATGAATTGTTCTATAGTTAAGTGACTTTATTTATGGATTATTCCAAATATTAATCATGAATCATAGGTGGATGAGGAGTGTGATTTTTGGGTTTTGCCAGATTTACTACTTTTTTGAATCTCTAATTCAACCCACTTGAATCGCACAAATCCAAAGGAGAAAATATGGAGGGGGGTGTCAAGGTTTTTGCCATGTTCATCACTAGGCTTAGGGTGGGTTGTGAAAGGATCTTCAATTTCTTGATTAATATAATTTATATCTTTAAATTTCCCAATAGTATATACGAAACAGTTCTCATTGTTCACTGAGACACTTGTCATCATAACCATAACTTGTAGTTAGTTCATTAAATATTTTACGGCAAAAACAGGACTGTCAAGGACAGCATTTTATAGTTATGGGGAAGGTCTGTTGATAGGGTGAATCAAGAGGCACTGAAACAATGAAGATGTATGGAGTAGGAGAAAGAAGCCTGACCTAATACCTTGTGTATTAGCACTTGAGGGCCATATATGAATTTTGTTTCTAATTTCCGTACAAAAGAATAAAACTTACCTGGGTTCACAATTTAAAATTGAGTGTTAACTAGTGACCTTTGAGTTAATCAAGATATTTGAATACAGTATGCCCCCCCCAAAAGTTTGTGGTTTTTTATACATGGATTTCTACCGGTTATTCGCGGATGACACCTTGGATGTGTATCTATAAGAAGACCTGTGGGTAGTTTTAAAGTTGCCGTCATTTTTGCGGCTGGGACAGGAAACCATTAGGTTCTAGAGACATTAATTTCCTTTACCTGTATTGTAAATATTTGTGTGTCATCCAGAGACCTTCTACATACACACCTCAAAGTAAGTGAACTTTTCTACCTTTTTTTGTTGAATTTAAGTAATTTCGGTGAGCTGGAACCAATACAAAAACCCATTGAAACAATGGTTTCAGTTAACGAGATTTTCGGTTAACGAGCAACCTGCTGGACGGATTGTGCTCGATTAACTGAGGACCACTGTACAGTGATTTCTGCTATACGCGTGTTTTTGATAAGCCAATTTGCTCTAGCGATTTATGAATTAGGAGCGATATTTGTATAACGAACGCTTGTTTGCTATAACGCGATTTTTGCTTACTATTTCTCCAATTTTGTGGTACAGTGGGTATGCTATAACGAATCTAATTGGTTCTAGAACCTTGTTCGGTTATAGCATTAGGTTGGATATAGGATTAATCCGTTCCAGGCCCCCAAATACAACCACTTAACACTGAAATATAATATAAAATGTAAAATGTAAAAAGTGCATAAAGATGCATCTAAACCCTGAAATAAAGAATATCATTAATATTTGTAATAAAAAACAATAAATTAGAAGAAAAAAAAATAAATAATGTTCAGTTGTAGGAGTTTCAGTTAGTTTTAGCATTCTCAATTTTATAGGTAAAACGTTAGTTTACAGGAATATTAGTAGAATCCGTTAGTTATAGCATACCACTTTATTAACTGTGAATATAGTAAAGAAGAATATCAACAAGAAGCGTTCTGGTGATAGAATTCCTGGTGATGATCGTAAAGAAAGGATATAACACTTGATATGATATTAGATATGAATGTAACATTTATTTAGACTGTGCTATCCTTTGTGTTAGGCTAACTACTAAATTTTTTGATTTAGGTAATCTGCACCTAACCCTATTTTCTCCATAAGCCCTGTTATTTCTATTCGCGATTTTCTATAACCTGATATTTTACAAGAACACAATTATCGTTATAGCAGAACTACCTGTACTGTAATCGAATATATAATATATATATATATATATATATATATATATATATATATATATATATATATATATATATATATATATATATATATATATATATATATATATATATATATATATATATATATATACATCAAGAGCAACTTCAGTTCTGAAGACATCTTGAATAAAGACAAAGCTAGGTAACTCAGGTCCTCCTGATTATCAAGACATATATATATATATATATATATATATATATATATATAAATAAGGTATGCAATATGTATGTATGTATGTATGTATGTATGTATGTATGTATGTGTATGTATGTATGTATGTATGTATGTATGTATGTATGTATGTATGATGTATGTATGTGTGTATGTATGTGTGTTATGTAGGTAGTATGTATGTATGTATGTATGTATGTATGTATGTATGTATGTATGTATGTATGTATGTATATATATATATATATATATATATATAGTATATATATATATATGTATATATATATATATATATATATATATATATATATATATATATATATATACACACACACACACACACACACACACACACACACACACACACACACACACACACACACACACACAGTCAGTCTCTGCTATAGCGATAGTTGTGTTCTTGTAAAACATCGTGTTATAGAAATTCGCGTAATAGAAATAACAGGGTTTATGGAGAAAATAGGGTTAGGTGCAGATTACTCGAAATCGAAAAAAAATTCGTATTTAGCCTAACACAAAGGATAGTCACAGTCTAAATAAATGTTACATTCATATCTAATAATGAAATCATACAGTAAATGTTACACTTTACCTTGAAAAAATATGAATATAACTTGATGGGGGAGAAGGTTGATGTTGAGGAGTTATGCAGACAGGATTTGACAGTTGTCATCGTCATCATCAGTATCATCATCATCAGGTGCAGTTTTTCTTTAAGTCCTCATATATTGATAAGGCTTTCTCTTTAATGGTGAGGAAGCTGGTCCCAGATCGCTTTTTTCGTTTGATCTTCTATCCAAGCACTTAGAAGCCATTCCATCTCCTCAAGTTCCTTTGGCCGTGATCTCACACTTTTGCCAGCACTCAAGGTTTTTCCAGCAATACAGCTTGCTTTAATCTTTGCTGCATTGTCTCTAATGGTGCGTAAAGTAGACTCCTTTATTCCCTTTGCACGCACAATATCACATGTTCTTTCCTTATTTTCAAAACGATTGACAACATCAAGCTTTTCTTCAAGTGTTATAGCCTTTCTTTTACGATCACCACCGGAAATGCAATCACCAGTAACTAGCTTGTGCTTATTTGAGGGTTCTAACAGGATGAAATTGTTGCAAATAATCTGAAACACATATAAGGAGGTATGAAAGTGACAGTAGTACAGTAGTAGTAGACAAAGATGGCTAAGGTTTATCAAGATAGTATATAATTATTAAGAGAATAGAAAGTAAAAGATAAATTAAGATTATAATTCATAAGTGGATGTTAAGACAGATGGGCAGACTGAAGAGGAGGTAGAAGGAGGTTTACATGTGTGACCATGAAGTGATTTAGAGGATGGGAGTGTTGCTGTATGGAGTGATGGGGGTAAAACATAACAGGGACACATTTAATAAAGTGGCAATTTTCAAAATAAATGATAGGTGGGAAGTGTCATTAAATTAATTCTACCAGCAGTGTACGCTTCATTACTTAAGGTATTTGTAGAAATCTTTAATTTATATATTTTTATTGGATATACAGTACTCTCACAGTTTTATTTATTATGTATTGTTTTCTCAATTTTTTTAGAAAAGTAATATTTTTTATATACGTAATATAAAACATCTTCCAGGCTGGACTTGTCTGCAAATTGAACACCAGATGCAGTATTATAGCTGCCACCAACCCCAAAGGCCAGTTTGATCCAACGGAATCTCTAGCTACGAATATTTCCTTGGGCTCTCCTCTTCTGTCACGTTTTGACCTTGTACTGGTTCTCCTGGACACCAGGAATACTGAGTGGGACAAGTAAGAATCAAGACACACTCTCTCTCTCTCTCTGTGTGTGTGTGTGTGTGTGTGTGTGTATTGAAAAAGTTTGCAGCCCGAAGGCTGAAAATATACATTGGACATAAATGACTTATTACATACATTGGTGGTTTAACAAAAGCCTTCATTAGAGAAAGGTGAAGGAACATACAGATTAATGTTTACACACGTGGATCATGTGAGCTGAGGTGTTGAACAGCAGACACGTAGTGTAGTAACTCCCTCACAGATGGCGTTATGAGGGGTATCACGTGGAGTACTAGTTCCCTCACAGGTGGTGTTATGTGGGGCTTGACGTGGTGTAGTAATTCCCTCACAGATGGTGTTACGAGGGGCCTGATGATGTAGTAGTTCACTCACAGATGGTGTATGAGGGGCCTGATGAAGTAGTGATTCCCCCACAGATGGTGTTATGAGGGGCCTGATGTGGTATAGTAATTCCCTCACAGATGGTGTATGAGGGCCTGATGTGGTGTAATAATTCCCTCACAGATGGTGTTATGAGGGGCATCACATGGCATAGTAATTCCCTCACAGATGGTGTTATGAGGGGCAACACATGGTGTAGTAATTCCCTCACAGATGGTGTTATGAGGGGCATCACATGGTGTAGTAATTCCCTCACAGATGGTGTTATGAGGAACTTCACATGATGCTGTAGCAACTCATTCACTACGTGGTGTCGAAGCATCATGGGGACACCGCGTGGTCACAGGACCTCATGCACTGAAGTGTGTGTGTGCGTGCCCCCAGTAGTAATGGACGAGTTGACTGTTCTGGGTAAACACAAGAAATACACTCTGCCATGTTTGTAGGGTGATGCTGTATATATAATATGTAATAAAAGTTTAAAGTCCTGCTATAATAGTAGAGATAAGTTTATTTCTCTAGAAACAGGGATGCCATTTGCAATGACAGTCACCACCTACCCTGCAGACGACGCTCTCTATCAAACTCACAGTTGCAGTCATGGGTAGTACAAAGGTGGCCGCCGTAGACCCCAAATGCTACATTTAGGTAAGTTTTAAGGGTGTTTTCTTATGTTCTTTAGGACATAAAAAACTCCTATGTTCACACCAGCTCAGCTGTCATGTATTCTTACCTGGTAGACTTTCTCTTTTTTTTTTCCAGTGCATTTACAGAGTATATCAGTACTAGATGGAGATACGAATAAATTTAGAAGTACAGGCATCCCCGGGTACGGAAGGTGTGTGTCCTTGAAAATTTGACCGTAACGTGAAATTCCGTAACGCGAAACCATTTTCCTATTGACTTCCATTATATAATTGGAGATGCGTTCCCAAGGAAATATTTTCAGCAAAAAGACGTAATACAAACACATTTATGAATGAAAATTATTTTTGTTAAAACATACATTGATTATTTTATGATATACAGTCTCTCCTCGACTTACGACATACTCGACTTTCGACAACCTGGACATACGACCGCCGTGGTCGTATAAATATTTTTCAAATTACGTATTTTTGAGT